GACCTCCTCCCCCTCTTTTTTTTTTTTTTTTTTTTTTTGACAGCTCAAATGTCTCAAGGACTGATCCATTTAAATTTGCCTGACATCAGTCTTTTGAACTTCTGAACATTCACTACATGTGGGGACTTTGCAGCCATTACCACTTCTTCTTAAAGCTCCTGGCATGAGACTGACTGATGTTCAGCTGAACATCATTTATTCTCTTGCAATCCCCATTTTCACAAGACGGAATTACAGTTTCAATACTGTCATACATAACTGAAGTTTATATAGGTGGCTCGTAATGTTACTGTTGGTTTTACCAGGCCAAAGTATTCTTTATATTCAATGCAAATACTTAGAGACTTGCTCTCAGATGTTGTCTCCACACTCTGTTTTTTCTATCTATCTAACCTTCTTTTCCAATCCTTCTTCCAACTTTACTTAACCTGTAAGAGGGGATAATCAAGTACTGTAAATAAAATCAATCAGTTACTGTTGTCTTTGTCAAGAGATGGAGTTCTGATACAACTGTCTTCTGAAAAAATAGTGTTTCTCTCAACAGAAGATGTCATTGCCTTGTCCCAATAGGAAGAATACAGAAGAATAGAAAATCCTCTCCTTAACTTTAATATCTTTTCTTTACAGTTCACCTTACCTCTAACTATTAACTTTATCATAATATGTCACTGTGCATCTTTTTCAGCAATTTTCATTCCTCCATACTTATGCCTCTGCCTGTATTCTTTGCTTCTCCTAACACAGCTTGAGGTGCCATCTCAACTTCTTACTGCAATGAAGATTGATTAAAAGCCACATTTTTCCAATATCAAAATTGTTTTGCAAATTTGCGTGTAAAAACAGAAAAAAACCCCCGTACGTTTGCTAGCGACTCACAGTATTACAGGAATCACTAAAGAGATGTAGTTACCAGCCTAACTACATAAGGAAATTTTCAAAGTTTTATATATATACTTTAACAGCAAAAGTAGACATCCCATATCCATTTACAGTCAAATGCATCTATTTAATTAGTTAATACAGTATATGCAACATATATAGGAGGAAAAAATGAAAAAGTAGAAAACTTAAGACTTCCATCTGAAAAGAAAATACTATTCAAACCAATGTGGGACTGTAGGAATAATGATGTCACGAGAACCACTTTTGAATATGAATTTGAAATATCACATAGTGTGAGAAGCCAAATCAAGTAAGACGGCAGGACACACTTTTCCAAGTCAGGGTCAGAACGGTTACATGTAAATTCAAAAATCACTCAAAATTACTGTGTGAAAAGCTTTTACTAGATAAACAGAAGTATCCAGGTGAAGTCTTAAAGGACTACAAGTAAATATTACAAAAAGGCATCCCAACAATTTTAAATAATTTTCTGAAATACTTACATGAATTATTTCCCCACTTTCATAGACTACAGAAGTAAGCACCAGGACAGGATCTGAACAAATGGTCTCTGTGAGTACTACTGCATAAACACTTCACATGTAGCCACTCACATGTATTTCTCTGTTTTGTTCTCTCTTTTTTGGTGGGGTTTTTTTGCCTTTCATGGATTTAGAGAAAGTCCAAAGAAGGGCAACTAAAATGATCAACGGTTATGAAGAGATTAAAATGGCCTGGACTTCTCAGTTTGGAGAGAAGGAGGCCAAGGGATGAGATGACCAAGGTTTACAGAATCACGAAGGTGGTAGATAAAGTGACTGAAGAACTATTGGTCACCAAATCCTGAAATACAAGAACTAATAGGAGAGCAGTTTAAAGCAGGTAGAAGAGAGAGTACTTTAAGAGAGGGTAATTTAAGAGTTGGTAAAGAGCTTCTGAGACTCTCTCCTGCCAGATGCAGGAGAGAACCTCTCAGGAGGTTCAGAAAGGGATTAGGCAAATTAACAGGCAATAAATTCATAAATAGATACTGAAAGGATGAAGCAGGGGTGTACCCCTCTCTAATATGATTTTGGATGCTGGGGTAGTATTAGGAAAATAGAAGATGGAAAATGGCCAGGTTCATGGGATCTCCCTAAACAGCACCTCCTACTGCCACTGTCAGAGACAGAAGGGTAGGATAGATGGACAACTGTCTGATCCAGGAGGAATTGTCCTATGTCCTTATGTTCCTTTTTTACATAGCAGTACAGCTATAAAAATATAGTTCAGCATATTATTCCTGACTTCTCACA